GAACGGCGATCTGGCACTTCTCCCTCTTTACCTTGAGCCCGGCCTCCTGGAACCTGGTCAGCACGGCACGGAGGCGCTCGAACAGCTGCTGGTGTGAGTCTGCAGACACCAAGACGTCATCAAAATATGGTACCACGCCCGGAAGCCCTTGCAGGAGACGCTCCATAAGGCTTTGGAAGATGCCAGGAGCCACACTCACCCCGAACTGCAACCGGCGGCAACGGAAAGCCCCCCGGTGGGTGACGATCGTCTGGGCTTCAGCAGTGGCATCATCGACTGGCAGTTGTTGATAGGCTTGGGCAAGGTCCAGCTTAGCGAAGACCTTACCCTCACCCAGGGAATGCAGCAGGTGTTGGACAACAGGAACCGGATAAGCGTGCTGCTGAAGTGCCTTGTTGATCGTGCACTTGTAGTCAGCGCAGATTCTCACCGACCCATCTGGCTTGACAGGCGTGACGATGGGGGTTTCCCACTTTGCGTGGTCAACCGGCTCCAAAACTCCTTGGGCGATCAGTTTGTCCAGTTGTTCGTCCACCTTAGCCTTGAGAGCAAAGGGAACCCGGCGTGGCTTTAGCTTGATGGGGGCGACTTGTGGATCAAGGCTAAAGGAGATGGGCGTACCTGTATATTGGCCCAAGGTGCCGTCAAAAACCTCGGCAAAGTCTTTGACCAGACCCTCAGTCTCTGCGTTAGAGATGCAGTTGATGCCGGTGACTTCCAGGCCGAGGGCATCAAACCAGTCTAGCCCTAGGAGGCTTGGCCGCTGACCTTCGACCACCACCAACCGGAGCAGGCCCGAAAAATCCTTGAAAGCGATCCGGAACCGGCCAACGCCTACCACGGGAATGTCGTTTCCCTGGTAGTCTCTCAGGTGTACGCGGTGAGAGTCGAGTTGCCTTTTGGACACTCTGGGTACCAGTCTTTTGATGGTGCTCCATGACACGATGGACAGGGCAGACCCGGTGTCGATCTCCATGTCACATGGAGCTCCTTCAATGAGCACCGTGACGTTCAGCTTGCGTCGCGTAGGCGAGTCGGTTTGGCCAATCGTGGTTCCAGACGGGCAGCGGCAGTTGGTGAGAGCGAAACAACTTTCCTTGGCAGACTGGAGTGAAGACTTGGACTTGCGAGTCGATGAAGGGGGGGTGTCAGACGGAGCCAATCGGCAGACCTTAGCGATGTGGCCCCTTCTGGAACACTTCCTACAGATGGCGTCTCTGAATCGACACTTGGCACGGGAATGGTTGCCTCCGCAGCCAGCACATTCTGGTTGGCCCTTGGACTTCTGTTGGAACTTCCTGCGCTCCCGCTTTGTCTGGTGCACGTCATCGTCTTCACTGGAGGATGCCTCATCACTGCTGGCCTCTTCATGATGCACTGGAACTGGCTCCCTAGCAAGACGCGGGCTGCTGGACTTGCGGATCTCCTGGGCGGAGCGTTCAGCAGCTTCTGAGGCCACAGCCTCCTCAATGGCTTTCTGTAGCGTGAGGTCTGGCTTGGCTAGGAGGCGCCGTTGCAGATGGATGTCCCGGACCCCGCAGACGATTCGATCCATCAGGGCATCGTCTAAGTCTCGGAACTCACAGTGCATTGCAGCCTGTCGCAGGGCGGTGGTGTAGTTGTTGATTGACTCCCCCTCTGCCTGGTTCCGGTGGTAGAACGCATGGCGGGCAGCAATCTTGGACGGCTTTGGTGCGTAGTGGTTGCGGAGCTTCTCTTGGATCGTGTCCCATGGTGTTGCCTGGACTGCTTCAGGCGCAACCAACGCTCGGGCCGTCTCAAACACCTCAGGCCCACAGAGGCTGAGGAATAGGCCCCGCTTCCGATCCTTTGATACTGCTGTCAGCTCGTTGGCTTGGAGGTAGCAGTCGAACCGAGCGAGGTAGGAGTCCCACGATTCAGAGGCTGGCGCAAACGGCGGTAGAGGCACAAGTGAAGCCATGATTCCGATGCCGGCGTGAAGGGCGATGGATGGAACACAGTGCTCTAGCCAGAACAGTCAGCTCTGAATTGGTTCTGCCCAGTGATTTCGCTCAGTGATTTCGCTCTGTGATTCAGCTCAGTGATTCAGCTCAGTTCAGAGGCTGGCCGCATCTGGCTGTGCTCTGATGTCCATCAATCCCATCCTCGTCGCCAGTGTTAAGTCGTGGGTTGACATAGCAGCCGGCACAGCGATTTCTTCAAGTAGCTCTTTATTATGGTAAGCTGGAATACAACTGACTGCGAACAGCTCAGCCGGCCTGTATTTATAGGCAGTCGGCTGTCAACATTGTAACCACAACAGCCCAGAGTTCCCGCCTAAAATAACTGCCGCGGACCTGAGTGAAAACTATCTACAGACCTGAGTGAAAACTATATACAGTATCCCCCTGTTGGCCCAGGGTGAAACTACACTACATAACAGTTTGTTAAATAAATACAGGGACATACACTGAAATACTGATGTGCCAGAGTGTTCTGTATTTCTTCTATTTGTTTAATTAATTATTTTTAAAGGGCAGCCTTCTAAGGCTGTTTTTCATTAAATTGGGGGGGGGAGTTAAACTGAATTCAGTGGGATGTGCAACACAACCCCTTGCAGGCTCCCCCAGGAGCAAGCCCCACTACGTTCAGTGGAGCTTGGGTTAGCTGCATATAAGACGGCTGCCTTACTGAACTCAGTGGCAGATCAGTTCCGTTTTGCATGCAGAAGGATTTAGGTTCAATCCCCAGCCTCTCCAGGTACAGCTAGGAAAGAATCATGTCTGAAAACGCAGAGCCACTGCCAGCCAGCGCAGGCAGACCTGAGTTAGATAGGCCAATCATCTGACTCAGTTATAAGGCAGGATCCTGTGCACGTCAATTCTTTCTATGTTCTAAAATGGGTGTGGGTGCGTGCTTCCATGTAATCCAATCCTTTGCATGTAGGACACATGGGAATTAAATGTGGCTCCCATGTAAATTTATGTAGGGTTGCAGCCTTAGACATATCCCCTCCCCACCCCCCACAACACATGCTTTCCCCCACTAAATGCATTTATCACTGTATATGTTGACACATGGATTGCTTTACAGCTGCCTGGCTGGTGTTTTTTCTTTTTTAAAGCTTCGCCAGTCACTGGAACAGTACAATTAGCATATGCAGATGAGCTACTGCTCCACTTCTCCCCTTCCCCCTCAATTCTTCTGGAAGCAGTAGCAACTTGAAAAAAGGGCCTGTGTTGCTAGCAGCATTACTCTAGGATGTTTTGGAGGGTGCCGAAGCAGGGCTGTTCCCCCCAGTTGTGATCTACTTAGAATTCAGTGACTTGATGCCTACACTGGTACCAGTAACACCATGAACATCAGAGGGCAGAGGGCACTTCCAAAAGATGGAGATACTATGAGTCCTGTCCGCCAACACACACAAACAATGCTAATAGCTAATCTCTGAGAGAGACTCTTCTCTCAATCCCACTACACGCACTGAATACATTTAAGCAGTTGATTTGTGATCTAGTGCCATTTCTTCAACCTTGGGTCCCTAGGTGTGGGTGGACTACAACTCCCATCGCCATTAACCACTGGGCTGTGAAACGCACCTTGAAAACAGAGCGGCGTTATAAATGGTCCCGTGGCCAATCAGGGGGCAGGAGCAGAGTGGAGCCAATCAGAGCCCTGTGGGTGTGGCATAGCCTGCCACAGCCAATGGGTAGAAAGAAGGGGAAGGAGAGACACAGGCCAGCTGTCTCTCGCTGCAGATTGGTGAAATGAGGAAGGAGCTGCGTAGCTGCGTTCAATAGCAGCTGGCCTGTTGTGTGCCCATAAGACACAGCGGAGGGAGAAAACAAGGTCTTGGCTTTAGTCACAGGTCACAGATGTGGAAAATCCTGAATAATATTTCATAGTTCTAGGCAGCCTCTCTAAGTCACGGTGACCTAAAGAGAGCGCTACAAAGGAAAGCACAGGAGAGATAGTATTTGATGCAAAAACCATTGCCAGAACACTCTGGGCTTGACCACAGTAGCAATTAACATGTGTTTGAACCTGGAACCTAAATTTTTGGCCCATCATCCACATGAAAGCCTCCTTTTGAGCATTCAGTTAAGAGTCCCCCTATCCCTGGGACAATACGAAAAGGGGAAATATGCCTATCTCACTGTTATCAGTGAGCTGGACACACTGTAGTAGGGCTGTTTTTGTGGGCTGGCATGTCAGAACTTTTTTTATATATATAAAAATCCCTTTCCCACTTCCACACCCCCTGCTTCCTCTATGGCTCTTGTCTGTCTTCCAGTAGTTCTCCCGACAACTTTTGGTAAGAGTCAAGAGTTTCTTTAAATGCAGCTGCACTGGAATTGGTTTTTTCCGCTGCCTACAACCACCTACTTACATTGCAGGCTGTCTCGGTTGTCTCCAGAAGAGCTGAAAATGGCTTCTTACTGGTGAGGGCCAATTGGTTTGTGAGCATTGTGCCAAGGACATCCACCTTTTCCCTCTCTCTGCCCCTCTGGAGGGCTGCTCCTTAGCAGGCTGTTGGTGGAATCCTGCACAATACACACACATACATCTATGTTGCAAGTCTGGGTGCAACTCAGCTTGCAGAAGAGGGGTTTTGCATGGGTTAAAACAGACAATGTTATGGAATTCCAGATTCCCAGACTATCCCTGTACCTTTAACCTCTTGAGCTGACCTCTCTCTCTCTCTCTCTCTATGATGTTAGAGTGATGTTCTCAGCTTGCATCCTGCTTACAACTTCCTCTTCCTTCTCCTACTTGAACCTCAAGATAAGCGGTCACCTTTAATTATCCTCTATGAAAACAAAGAACCAGGTATGGCTGCCTCGTTCTTCTCTAGACTAGAACATTTTCTATCCAAGTTACAGATTTCCTACAACAAACAACTTCGTTGCCTTCTTAGCTGCAAGCACCTCTGTGTGGGCAATGGCAACTGGTACAAAGTCTGCTCTCTAGCCCAATTTTCACTAGCCAAATGCTGCTGACTCTGCATACAGAAGGGTTTCAATAGGTAACTGGCCCAGTTGGTCCCAATAATGTATTTATTTTTTTAAAAACCGCAAGCGTCCAGAAGTGATGGCAGTGCTAATGGAAGGGCATAGAGAACAACACACAGCCCCAATACAACCCAGCTAGCAGTGCCCAACTGTTGTGGATGGGAAACATCTGCAGAGAAAATTGAAGGCATTTGTGTGTGGACAACCAAGGTGCGACAACAGGTACATGGAAACGGCGGCCCACGCGTGTGTTAATGCCTCAGTGTGAACACAGCCTCAGAGCAATGGCAGTCTCGTCTTTCTGCATTGGCCCTCTCTGAGACAGGACTGGACACCTGAAGAGGCCGCAACCCCTTTCCTATGTGAGGCCTGTATAGGTGGGTAGCTGTATCTTATCCAAGGCACAGGACGGTCTCCTGGCAGGCTGGCATCCCACAGACACAAAGGAAGGAAAGGACAGCCCCAATTGCTAAATTACAGCTGAATTAAGGAGGATGCTAGGCTGCTTCGGTTTCCATGGCAACTGCTGAAGGGTTCCGATCACCATGGTTCCCAAGAACACTCCCCTCTGGAGGAGGCGGGCTCTCATTTGCCAATGGGGCAGGCAACCCCAGTGCCTTTCAGGCCGCAAAACCCCTCGGGGTTTTTGTGCAGGTATTGCTGGTGGTAATCTTCAGCGTAGTAGAACTTGCCGGCCTCCTGGATCTCGGTCGTTATCCGTCCCCGCTGCTTCTTAGACAGCTCCTGCCAAAGAAGAGACATTCAGATAGTTAGCACTCCCAGGAGGATGGTTAGAGCAAAACGCAAACCACGGATAGGTAACATGCACCCTTCTAGATGTTGTCAAGACTACAGCTCCCATCATCCCTGACCAATGACTGTACTGGCTGAGGCTGATGGGATTTGGAGTTCAACCATTATCTGCAGGGCCATAGCTCACTATTGCCTAGTACACTGACTGACAGCAACCCTCTAGGATTTCAGATGGGGATCTTTCTCAGCTAGGCCTGGAGATGCCTGGATAGCTCAGTTGGTTAGAGCTTGGGGCTGAGGACAGTAAGGTTGCAGGTTCAATCCCTGTATGGGGCAGTTGCATATTCCTGCTTCGCAGAGGGTTGATCCTCATGGTCTCTTCCAACTCTATGAGTCTATGCCGGGTACTGGAACCTGAAACCTTCTGCTTTGCAAAGCATGTCTTCTACTAATGAGCTATGTATGGCCTTCCCCCACCTGCCTGCAAGATCTTTAGTTACAAGTCTACGCCACCACCGCCTTCATAGCATCCGTCAAATTTTGGAAGCTTGGTGCTGGAGATATAAAATATTGAGATGCTTATGCTAATTTCACCACACGTGAAAAGAACACAAGTTTATGGCCCACGTGACTGTGAAGGTGGCTGCACTTGGAATGCTGTGCACAGTTCTAGCTGCCTCAGCTCAAAAAGGATACAGGACAGCTGGAAAAGAGACGAAAGAGCAGGCAAAATGGTCAAGGGGATGGGAGTGGCTTCCTTATGAAGAAAGGTTGCCACATTTAGGACTTTAGGGAAAAGGTGACATGACAGAAGGCTATAAAATTTAGAACTTATGGGCACCAAATGAAGCGGAATGTTGGGTAGACCAAAGAAAATACTCCACACAGTGCATAATTAAACTATCGAGCCTGTTCCTCCTGCAGGTAAAAGATAAAGGTAAAGGACCCCTGGAGTGTTAAGTCCAGTCAAAGGCAACTATGTGGTGCGGCGCTCATCTCGCTTTCAGACTAATGGAATCAGCATCTGTTCACAGACAGCTTTCTGGGTCATGTGGTCAACATGTTTAAACCATTTCTGGCACAACAAAACACCATGATGGAAACCAGAGCGCACGAAAATGCCGTTTACCATCCCGCTGCAGCAGTACCTATTTATCTACTTGCACTGGCGTCCTTTCGAACTGCTAGGTTGGCAGGCGCTGGGACAGCGCAACGGGAGCTCACCCCGTCGCAGGGATTTGAACCTCCAACCTTCCGATCGGCAAGCCCAAGAGGCTCAGTGGTTTAGACCACAGCGCCAGCTGCGTCCCTGATCCTCCTGCAGGAGGCAGTGATGGCCACCGACTTGGATGGCTTCATGAGGACTGAGCAAATTCATGGAGGATGAGACTGTCCAATGGCTTCCAGCCACAATGGCTGTGTTCTGCCTCCACGGTTGGAGGCTATATGTTTCTGAACACCAGCTGCAGGAAACCATGGGAGGGGAGAGGGTTTTCTCTTGGTCCTCCTTTCAGGTCCTGCTTGAGGGTTCCCCACAGGCACTTTGAGAAGAGGATGCTGGACTAGATGGGCCATTGCCCTGATCCAGCAGGCTCTGCTCAGTGTTGGCCTCTGGTCGCCCACTGGCATGTGGCCCTGGAAGGTTATCCAGAAAGGAATGAGTCTGGAGAGGGTTTCCCACCCCTGCAGTAGATGGAGGGCAGACAAGATACAAGTTGTTCACAGAACACATTTTTAGTCAGTGAAACTCACTGCCACAAGGTTGGGGTCTGGTGAGAACAGAGGAAAGATGAGGATATCATGGCACATTTAATCAGCTGGGGTTTGTGCATGGAATCTTAAGTTAATATCATTTTTAATCTCGGTGGCTCCTCTGCATTTTGGGCTTGTGGATTTGTTACATGATTGATTCTCCTGCAATCTGCATTAATGGAGTTACTTCTCGGCCTGTCACTTATGTTTTCACGTTGCCTGGAAATGTTATGATCTAGTAATTATAAATTGCACGTTTTGATGAATTGCTTAATGGATTGGTATTGCCTAATATTTTTTTATGTCTGTCTCGTCTTATTACAAATTTGTGTTTTAACTATCGAGGTCTTGTAGACTAACATTATTATTTTTGCATTGAATACAGTGGTACCTCGGGTTAAGAACTTAATTTGTTCCGGAGGTCCATTCTTAACCTGAAACTGTTCTTAACCTGAGGTACCACTTTAGCTAGTGGGGCCTCCCGCTGCTGCCACGCCGCTGCCGTGCAATTTCTGTTCTCATCCTGAAGCAAAGTTCTTAACCCGAGCTATTATTTCTGGATTAGCGGAGTCTGTAAATTGAAGTGTCTGTAACCCGAAGTACCACTGTATTTTTGTCAGTTTAATGCAAACCACCTTGAATGCATAGGGAAGGATGGACTTTGGCAAAGTGAGGTGATGATCAGTAACTCCAATCACTTTAGAACGGGGTGAGGAACCTGTGACCCTCCAGATGTTGCCAGACAACAACATCCCACCATCCCAGTCAGGCTGAGGCTGATGGGAGCTGGACTCCATCAATATCTGTGGGGGTCACAGGTCGACCACTTTTCCTTTAGAAGGTGATTGGACAAATTCAGGGTGGATGGGTCCACTGACAGCCTGGAGAGCACCATCACTATTCTGGTAGCCCTTGCAACCTAACTCACTCTTCAGTGCCAAATTTAGGGTGGTGCTCTGTGCCCTGCTTTCACCTGGGCAGAGCAATAGCTGAAGTTTCAGTCAGCCTTCAAACCCATGGCTGGCACTACCACTCTGCATCCTCGGGCAGCTTCTGATGCCCCAGCAGGGCCCACTAGCGCCGACGCCTGCTTTGAAATTGCTCCCTTCCCTCTCTGGATTTGGGGCTTACCGCAGCTGGCCGCCATTTTAAATTTCCCAGAAATGCCATTGTGGATAATTAAAATGGCAGGCAGCTCGCAGCCACCGCCTACCGCAAGACCACAGAACGGCGGCGGTGGCAATCCATTGCCCACCACTTCCATCTTGGGCCTCCCTGTCAAGCTTGGAGACGCTCAGCGGCACTGAAATTTCTAGGCGAATTCTCAAGCAAGGAGGTAGGAGGAGACAGACACTGTCAAAACAAATTACTTCCGTCCGATGGGCTTAGGAGGGATTGGCCTGCTTCCTCCGGCATCTCCTCTACCCTTTCCCCTTTAGCGATAGAAGTAGCGAGCCTCTTAAGCCTTGGTGCCAAGTACATCTTCCCCCTCTCCTCCTAGTTGGCGGCCTTCACGTAGGGAGGTGATGGTAAGGAGGGAGAGGAGAAGCCAATGGATGTCTTCAGCAGTAGTGGGAGGGATCTGCATCACGAGAAACGTGGAGGGGGGGGGGAGAGGGCGGCTGCAGCCCAGCTTCCCAGCCATCTCTTTAAATGCAATTAAGGATGCTGCCCACTTCAAAGGCTCTGCCAACTCTGGAGGGCTTCCAGCCAACAACATTGGGCTGCACATGTTTTGGGCGGGGTGGGGGGGTGGGCGGGAGTGCGTAACAGCTGAGAGGGAGGCAGGCGAGGAGGGAGGCGCATGGCTCTCCAGGGCTCAGAACAATGAGGCTTATCGCAGGCAGAGTTAATTCACAGGCATCACGGATGGTGCGTGCAAGAGAGCCGATAAGACAACACAGTTAATTAACTGGAACCCAGCTGGGCCTGGTGCTGGCAGAGAAGCTGCAGCGGGAAAAGAGCAACAGCGGAAAGCAGGCTTGCAGAGACAGAGAGAATGTGCAGGGTGATGTGGGTGCTTGTGGATGTTACAGGGGTCATAGATCCTAAGGAATTTATTTTCTTCCTCCTCCCCCGCCCCCCGCTCCCCTGTTCTCTCTATTAGCAGGAAGGGCATGGGTGGAACTAATTGAAAAGCTCACCTCTTTGATCTCCAGCCCCCAGGAACTTTCCCTCATCCAGCACCGCTTTCTCTGCAGCGCTTTGGGAGGTACATCCGTTCCCATACAAGCATCACTAGGGCATAAACAAGGGATGGGGAACCTTTAACTATTGAGGGCCACATTTCAGGATGCTGATAGCAGGTGGAGATGAATAGAAGTGGATACATCCACTCTGCTTGCTTGCTGGCTCTCTGCCGCCGCCTCTCCCTACCGCCTCTCTGTGTGTGTCACCCCCCTTTTCTCTTTCGCTCTGCCACCCACTTTCTCTGTGTGTCACTGACTTTCTCTCTCTGCCACCTTCTCTCTCTCCCCCCCCCCAATCCGCTTTCTCTCCCCCTGCCTGTTCTTCCTCCCCACCCCATGGGCTACCAGGGAAAGGACAAATTGCTTTTGTCTCAAGCCTGAACTAGATGCTTGCAGAGGCATTTCCGCCCCCACCCCAATAACTCCACCCATGTTTGCCTTTTTCCTATCCCTCTCCCCCCCAACTTTCTTCTCTCCCTCCATACTCCTCCTCTGATAAGAATTAGGCCAAGGGTCCCTGCCCTTCTTATAAAGGGTCAGATTCGAAAGAAGAGCCCCCCACTGGACCACATCAAAGAGTTGGCTAGTCAGCATTCCATTCCCCACATTAGCCAATCAGATGCTTCAAGGATGCCCACCAGCAACTGGTATCCAATGGCATGAATGCAGGGCCTGCATTTATGTATCGCAATCAGTTTAGAAGCCTTGAAATCCACCAATCAAACAATCCATATTTTAGCCTACGCAGAACACACCCTAAATTGGGGATGAGGGAGGGAGTGCATCACTATTGCTATCCTGGAACATCCCAGAGCAACTCTTTGAACCTATGCAAAGTTCCCATTCCCACCTGAGTGCTCCTGGTGGCAGCTAAAAATGTTGCTGGTCTGCCCATCACCCACCTATCTCTTACCAGCCACCAGCAAAGATTACTGAAGAGAGGCCCTTTATAGCACGGGTAGGCAAACTAAGGCCTGGAGGCCGGATCCGGCCCAATAGACCATCTGGGAATCATCATGTTTTTACATGAGTAGAATGTGTGCTTTTATTTAAAATGCATCTCTGAGTTATTTGTGGGGCATAGGAATTCATTCATTCCCCCACCTTCAAAATATAGTCCGCCCCCCCCCCACAAGGTCTGAGGGACAGTGGACCGACCCCCTGCTGAAAAAGTTTGCTGACCCCTGCTTTATAGGGAGTAAAGGAGCAGCATATAAATGACTGCCATAAGCCCTTGTACAATTAAGCACTCTCAACAGCATAATGCACCACTGGTTCAGACACCAAAACAACCATGTGGCTGTGGGGGCGCATAGATGCGTGGGGGGTGTATGAACACGTGTATCTTGCATCTTTACCCCTAAGCCAAACAAGATTGGCTGGTGGAAGCAAGAGGTTTCCGTGCCCCCTTTATGCCCAACCACTTAAAGGTTCGAGATCCGTGTATTTTTCCATCTGTGATCACCCAATCAGCTGCCAATGGGAAACACAGATCCTGCCTCCATGCTGCTGCCTCTGTCATCAGCATCAGTTACCTGCTTTGGTCATCTTTTGAAGACACACCTCCTGCTCCAACCTCCAAAAGCATTTTCTCTGAAAGCTGGAAAGCTTTATTGCTTTTCTGTACTTTTTTTTTTTTACTACTATTCCTAGTGGCTTATAACGATGCTTTTATTGTACATTTTGGAAAGATATGTGCGTATGTGTGTTTTAATTCGCAGGACACACTTTAGAATTTTATTTTATTTTACTGGTATATTAAGCAGCATAAAGATGGTCTTAAGTAAGCAAATGAGAGCAGGGTTGGGAAGGCGCCCCCGTAGGAAAAGGCAATGCTATTGAGACAGGATCCCAGGTGGCTCTGGACAGCAAGGAGGCTCCCTGCCCTTGGAGCTATTAATAAATGCTAAGATGTGTCTTCTGCCACATGCAGGCCTCAGATGAGCAAAGCTCTAGGGGCCCCTCCAGGGAGCAGGGAGCAAAGTGCCTAGTATTTAGGCTCCGCGGAGAACAGAATATATAAATAACAGATTGCTCCTAGAGGCAGCATGCTGTCCCACTACCCTCTGGGACGGGGGCTATTGAATATTTTCTCCCCGGTGGGGTATATCTTAGCATGACTAATGGGCCGTTGGAAGCAAACCTGCCAGCAGTGCAGAGCTGAGCGACATGTCATATTTGGGATCACCAAGACGGAGACAGTTTCTGGTCTCAAAGTTATGCCGCCGAGTAGCCAGAGACACATACATACAAACACATGCGTGAAAAAAGAAGATATTCTGGGTGCATGAAAGAGTAACCAACCAATTATAGCTAGGGTTAACTCGATGCAGCCCATTGGCACTTAGGACATAGCTGTCAACGTTTTCCTTTTTTAAAGGGAAATTCCCTTATTCCAAATAGGATTCCTTGCAAGAAAAGGGAAAAGTCGACAGTTATGACTTAGGAGCATAGGCTTGCCAGGATTTCAGGCGAGGGTCTCTCCCTTCTACCTGGAGATGCGGGGGATCAAAGATGCATCGTATTAGGGAAAACCTGTTTGAAAAGATGCACATGTTTGGCAAAACCACACACAAAATGTGAATATTTAGGACAGGGGTCAGCAAACTTTTCCAGCAGGGGGCTGGTCCACTGTCACTCAGACCTTGTGGGGGGCCGGACTAAACTTGTGGGGGTGAACAAATTCCTATGCCCCACAAATAACCCAGAGATGCATTTTAACTAAAAGCACACATTCTACTCATGTAAAAACACACTGATTCCCGGATCATCTGCGAGCCAGATTTAGAAGGCGATTGGGCCGGATCTGGCCCCGGGCCTTAGTTTGCCTACCCAAGAGGACATTAAACTAGAATTTGCAAGCTGATGTATATATGTGGAGAACAGACCTTAAGATTGAAAATATTAAGAAACTGAAATTGACCGATTTGTCCATCCATAGTCAGAAGCATCTCACTGTGGCTCCACCTAGGAAGACGGAAGCTTCCCAAAGTCATCCATGTTGCCCTTGATCCCACCTCTTCCCAACAGCCCTCAAATGTGGAGCTTCTTTCCTCACCAGAGGCTGCTGTTCAACCAGCTCTGCCTACAACAACCCTCTCACCAATACCCTGCGCCCCATCTATCCTCGCACACCTCCCCCCCTCCGGTTCAGGCACACGCCGACGTCTGCCCAGCACGTGCCGATTCCAAGCAGGGTTGCCCTTAATTGCCTCTGCAATGGCGGCCGGGGGGGGGGGGGCAAACGGCTTACGGCAATGAATCACATTGAAAGGGGCGGTGGGTGGAGAGGCTACACCTGCCTGTGCCGCTGACCTTTGCACCCTAGCTGCCAATTGCCGCAGTGGCAAGTTGCCAAGGAAACCAACATATTCTCTCTCCCCGCCCCCGGCGCAACCCCTCTTTTCCAGCCCATAGTACACATATGGCCTTGGAGGAGCAATTATCTGCATGCACTCCCGCCTGCCTTTGTTGTGGGCATGGCTCAGAGGGCAAGTCCTATTCACCAGAGGGCAAAGAAACAAGGCAAGTTTGTGTCCCCCCCCAAAAAAAAGCCCCATTGGTATCTCAGGTCCTATGAAAATGTCAGCAATGAAACAGCGGGCAAATATCTCCCCTGGGACCCTTTTATTTACGGGACTTTATAAACCGCCTTTCAACACCGGTTTCCCAAACAGGTGGCAACATCAACCTACATAAGGAGGATTAAAATATTAAGCAATATTAACAAGCGAGCAAGCCATGGGGGGGGGGCGGGGGCGGATCCCAGCATCAGGATCCTGCTAACAGGAGCTTTGCTCCCCGCCCCTCAAAGGCACAGCAAAACAGAAACCTCTTCCCCCTGCCTCCTGAAAAGACAACAGATGGACTCTCACAAGCTTCTAAAGCAGGGTTTCCCAAACTTGGGTTTCCAGCTGTCTTTGGACTACAACTCCCATCACCCCTTGCCAGCAGGACCAGTGGTCAGGAACAATGGGAATTGTGGTCCAGGACCCCTGCAGAGAAGATGCTGTTTCTTACAGCAGCCAGCCTGGCTTCTGCACCCGATGGTTCTCTCAGCAGGGCTTTATTTGCTGACCTTAAGTCTCCTGGCAGTTTGGATAGGAAGTGTATTTTCCTGGGATAGTCAGGACACAGACCATTCAAGGAAGCCTTCCCCAACCTGATGCCCCATAGAGTTTTTGAACTCCAGGTCCCAGCAGCACCAGCCAGCATAATCAGGGCCAATCAGGGTGTGGGTCGGCGCATTTGGCCCAGGGCCTCAAAGCTCAAAGGAAGCTAGTGAATGCTTGCATTGGCAGTTCAGTGTGGGGCAATGGCAGTCCTTTGCAGGAAGATATTATAATAATAAATTATTATTATTATTTATACCCTGCCCATCTGCCACAGAAGCAGCTATGTTGATGTGTATCAGGAAGTGGCCAAAGACGGAGAACTTTTCACAGTGATGAATGTTATGAAGGCTCCACTAACTTCCCGTCCCACACACTTTTAATACTGTTATGTACTGAGTTTAGGGAAGCTTTTAATGTTTGATGTATTACAGTATTTTAATATTTTTTTGGAAGCTGCCCAGAGTGGCTGGGGAAGCCCAGCCAGATGGGCGGGGTATAAATGATAAATAATAATAATAATAATAATAATAATAATAATAATAATAATAATATTATTATTATTATTATTATTATTATTATTATTATTATTATTATTATTATTCCTGAGTTGAATAGGATTCAAAATGCAGCAGTCTGATTGGCCCTAAAACAATAGGATTCAGAATGCAACAGTCTGATTGGTCCTAGAACAATAGGATCCAGAATGCAGCAGTCTGACTGGTCCACAGGAGCCACCCAATCCAACTCTAGGTGTAAGTGAATCCACAACCTGATTGGCCTACAGGAGAATCCCGGAATTAGCCAATCACGTGGGGCCCATTGTGTAAATAATGTATATAAAGCAGTCATTCTAGGGGAACTTCCATTCCTCCTCACCACTATGAGCTGAATAAACAGCATGAAATCCACTCTCGACTCCGAGTATATTTCAAGGACCATTTTCACAATTATAATTGCAAGCAAGCAAAGATGGGTGTTGAAACCAAGATCTTACTTTGCACTTGAATGGGCTTCTGCACTGGCGTATACAAAGTCCTTGATCATAAATGAGATACATTCTCAGGTTTGCTTTATGGCTGCAGAATAGCTGCTGAGCTGTTTTTTTTTAGGGTTATGGGGCACAACCGCTGTTTAAGCAGGTTTCTTCATTAGCACCAGACTCAAGGAGTAACAGCACAGCGGGACAATAGCAGGACACGTTTTGCATACCGCAAGTCCTGGGTGCAGTCTCAGGAATCTCTAGCTGAAAGATGTCAGATAGCTGGGCTGCAAAAGAACCAAACCCAGGAGTAGCCCCTCCAGATGGAGCTGGACTACAGCTTCCATGATCCCTGACCAGTGGCCATGCTGGCTGAGGTTGATGGGAGCTGCAGATGATCACCACATGGGCTACCCAGGTCCTAGGCTCAGACTTTAGGGTGCTAACACGGGGGCGAAACAGACTGATCACATAAGGCAACTTAAGGTGTCCTTACCCTCCAACCTTCCCCCATCCAAATGCCCATATCTCCCATACCTGCTCATACATCTCCTTTGATCTCAGGGCAGATTCCAGCTGCTCAGCTCCAATGGGATAGATGGCTGAACGATACTGGGTGCCGACGTCTTCGTATTGCTTCATGCCTGGAAAGAAAGCGGTTGTTAAAGGGAGAAGACTTGCAAGGCGGCCACCCTTGTTCGGCAGCAACTGGTAAAAACTGGAGTTCTGCACTTTCCACGAACTATTGAGTCTGTGGGTATAAGCCGGGGCAGCCATTGCGGTACCCTCCCATCAGCCACAGTCAGAATGGTCAATTGTCAGGGATGGTGGGATGAGATTATTGGTTCATCTAGCCCAGGATTCTCTACAGCAGCCTTCTCTACCCAGATGCCCTCCAGATGTTGTGGAACTCCAGGTCTCATCAGCCCTAGCCAGCATCACCACTGGTAAGGAATGATGGGAGTTGGAGTCCAACCACATCTGGAGGATACCAGGCTAGAGAAGGCTGGTCTACTGTTCCTTTTCAACCCGAGACCTTCAGCCAACCAAAGGGATACTCTCCCATTGAGTTGTGCTCTTCCCCCGGCTGACCGTCCTCACCAAACACTGGCCTGCCCCCATGTATCCATGCAGACGCACTTTCCCCCTGCCCCCTCTGCCTCCCAGCCACGAGCAAACAATTGCTATTCCTCTCATGGGAAAGGCTGTTAATCACCTAGGCACAACAAATCCACTGTGCCCACTGTGTGACTTGTCAGCCCAGCCGATCCTGTGTCTGCGTAATGTGAATATATTACGAAGCCCTCATCTGGAACACAAAGAATGGAGCCCAGGGAGAAAGCAGTGCCTGGAGGGAGCACCACACTGGAGAGATCAATGTTACCAGAGATGGGGCAGGGAAGGACTCTTGTGGTGTGCTGGAACCAGGATGCTGCTACTGCTCTGTCCATCTCAGTACTGTCTACATGGAGAGGCAGTAGCTCTCCAGGATTTCATGCCTACCTGGAGATGCTGGGAATTGAACCTGCGACGTTCTCCATGTAAATCAAATGCTCTCTAACACTGAGTTATAGCCCTTTGACTATCTCAGGCATAGGCAAACTCAGCCCTCCAGATGTTTTGGGGCTACAACTCTCATTATCCCTAGCTAAAAGGACCAGTGGTCAGGGATGATGGGAGCTGATGGAAGTTGAGAATCCCAACAACTCTACAGTTCCCCACCTCTACTTTTGAGTCCTATGTCTGTTCTTAGCAGATTGGTATTCTTGCCTGGTTGACCTCTGGAATGCAGAAGTGTCCCAGGTGACTGGTTTTCCAATCGGCAGGAAATGGGGCTCCAGTCTTCTGGGTACCAAACTGTCACAGAATTGTAGGGTTGGAAGGGACCCTGAGGGTCACCAAGTTCAATGGAGGAATATCAAATAGATCAGGCACCCCCAACCTGCGCCCTCCAGATGTTTTGGCCTACAACTCCCATGATCCCTAGCTAACAGGACCAGTGGTCAGGGATGATGGGAGTTGTAGTCCCAAAACATCTGGAGGGCCAAGTTTGCCTATGCCTGGCCTATCTGGACCAGGGACACTGTAGGCCAATAAAGGAGGACATTTCATTTCACTTCCATTTCACTTGTAATTTGTACACTGCCTCTCTGTATGATTGTGTGCGAGGCAGTTTTACAAGCTGAAGAAGCAACAAAGATTGCACACCTCCGATCCAATGCAGAGACGTCATAATAAAAACATAGTTTTAAAATAAACAACTCATATTGCTTTATTTGATATGAGTAATATTCAATAATCCATTAGGATATAAGAGTACGCAGTAAAATTAAATATCAGCCCCCCCAAAAAATAGCTAAACAGAAATTCACTCTTCACAATTACAATAAATAACTTCTAGACTATAAGCAATAAAAATAGCAGCAAGTCACAGTGCATAAAATAACACAATACAAATTGAGAAGCAGAGACACACAACTTTTTATTGTTTTTTAATCCCCTGAACTCCTCTTCATGGTACTCCTTCTTAAGGACATGGCAATGGTCTATACAATTGCTCATGGTAGGGAAAAAGCGGATTTAAAAAAATATTATCGTATGACAAAAATCACTACTTGGCAACTATTTACACAGTATCATTCTTCTTTTTCATAGATTTTAACTCCAAATTTAACACCCCAACCTTTCCCGTTATCACAATATCATATAATTCTTCTTTTAAAGCCAAATTTAGCCTTATAAACTTATAAAACTTATAGCCTTATAAAATTTGCTGAGTCCCTGCTGAACCAATTTAATCTATAATTTCACACGCGCGCACACACACACACACACACACACACATGCAATTTAACAATTTCAAGTTCGATCCCAATGCTGTTGGGGCTCAAATTCCTTTTCCAAGTTTTGCAAGCGCTATTCTTGCTCTATTAAGAATATATACAATTAGGATTTGTTTTTCTACCCATACATAGTTCTAAAGAAAAGTTGTTGGGTTGTTTTTTTTTTTTAAAAAAAGGATATTGTAGAGCTATGAAAGATTCAGGAAAGAGCAACCAAAATGGTCGAAGAGCTGAAGTGACTTGGGAGGTTGCAACACTGGGGTCTTTTTAGTTGAGAGAGAAAAGGCAACAAGGAGGGGACATGCAAAAGATGACTAAATTGATGCACGATGGGGAGAATTCTTATAACACCAGAATTCAGGGGCAACCAACGAAGCTGACTGTGTTTTGAGGATCCAGGATAGATTAAAGAAAATACTTTGTCACAAGGCACAGAGTTAAATTATGGAATTTGCTCTCACAAGACACAGTGATGACCTCAATCTTGAGTGGCTTTAAAGGACGATTAGACAAATCCATGGAAGGCAAGGCTATTGATGTCCATTAGCCTCAATGGCTCTGTTTTACTCCCACTGGCAGAGGAGATCTGAATCCCAGTCACCAGATACCAGAAGTGTGTGTGGGGGGGGAGTTGCTGCTGCTCACAGGCTTCCTGCAGGCATCTGGTTGGACACTGTGAGAAGACGATGCTGAGCAAGACTGGCCTTTGGCTTGATCCAGCACAGCTCTTATTATGTAACAATGGTATTCCTGGCATGTGCTTATAGCTCTGGACTAAGGAGCTGGGCTCGCTCCTACAAAACAGCTTCCATGAGGAAGAAGCCATCAGCTGGCAGTTTGCATGGACCAGCGTTGCTGTTTCCAGGATGCTACTGCACAAATCTGCCTAGGCAAGCGAGGCAAACCCACAGGGATTAGGCAACAGGAACGTATTGTGCCTGCCTTTGATTTCACTGGTTGCCATTACATTCCCAGGCCAAATTCAAGGTGCTTGTCTTAACACAGCATGAGCGCCCAATATCCTATGGAGAGATTCTCTCCATATAAGCTATCCAGGCCCTAAGGTCATCCATGGACACCAGGCATCCTGGGTACCGCCCAAGGGTGGTGGTGGTGGTGGGGACACAGCATGTGCGTGTGTGACACATGGTGGGACGAGGACTGAAGGGGCCTGTCTCACCCTCCAAAAGGCCCACCGGAGCCCGCTGCTGCTATAAGAGGGCCTGCCGGGGCCCGCCTGGCTGTGGAATATCGAGGGAGCCTGGACTCCGCATTGAAACTATCCTCCAGGTACCGTTCATGCTGAGATCTGGGGGGTGGCCAAAGCAGAGGGGTCTTTTCAGTAGTAGCCCCGTGCTTGTGGAATACTCTCCTTAAAGAGGATCGCTGGGCACCCACTTTGCAATTCTTTTTGGCACCAAGCAAAGCCATTTCTTTCCTTCCAGACTTTTAAGCAGGTTTTTTTCTGTTTTAACTGCCAAGATTTTTTAAAAAATCAGCCGGTATTTTAATTGGGTCAGCTAATCTGATGCAGTTTTTCAAGGAGAAGATTTTATTTGTTGAATTATGATGATGGGTTGCAGATGTATTTGAATGTTTTCACTTGTTTTAGTTTTAAATGAATATCAACAGCGTCCTAGGCCTCATGGTCAAGGATTTATTAAGGCATGTCTTAAGGGACACATCAGTCATTCTTATGCCGACGGCTGCTTGAAGAATTCATTTTTTGCAAATCCTGATGCTGCACAAAAAAAGTGACCTCATTTGCACTTCCTAAACTAATGCGTGGATCAGAATGCAGCTTTCTCGGGCAAGTGGGAATTTCATACTGCTCTGAATTTTGCAATGCAATTCTTGACTCAAAAAAACATAGCAAAATGACTTCAAAATGTGACATAAAATACATTCAAAAATATGTGTTTAAATGCAGGCTTTGTGAGAATCACAGATAAACATGGAAGCCCGAAGCCCTGGAGAGCTGCTGCCTCTCAGTGTAGAGCAGTGTTCTGCAACCTTAGTTGAGATTCCTATGTTTGCAGGGGGTTGAATTAAATGACCCTCAGGGTCCCTTCCAACTCTACAATGCTACAGTTCCAAACTTGGGTCCTCAGATGTGGGTAGACTACAATTCCCATCATCCACAGTCTGCTTAGCGCAACGGTAAATAAAGGATGATGGGAACTGTAGTCCACCCACACTGGCGACCCCAAGGTTGAAAAACAATACTGAGCTAGACGGACCAATGATCTAACTCTGTATAAGGCAGCTTCCTAAGTTCCCTGATGAGTCAGCAAAGCAGGAGGCAGCGCTGCCTAGTGGTTAGGTGGTGGACAGGTGTCACAAGGGACCATTATGAGATGCCGGGGTGGGCAGTAACCTTTTCCAAACTTGCAAAGTCCAACAGTGGCTCTGTCTGAGTTCAATACTGTCTGCCCCCGTAATAAGCTGTGAGCTTTGTCATGTCATATGCTCGTATCATCATATCGTTGGAGGTACTCAAAGGTATGTAGTACCAGCACCACCACCCCCAAAAAATGTTAAAAGTGTGGCACTTACTGTAACAACAAAAAAGCACCATATATATGTGTATACATAATGCATGTATGTGTCTGTGTGCACTCTCCTTGGGGAGGAAGAGCGGGATATAAATGGTTTTTTAAAAAATAAATAAAGCCATCGACGCAGACGCAACTCATTAAAGCACCCACACGCAATTACGAACCCAGAGGAGTGCCCTGCCGGTGACACAGAGAGAATGCTAATCTCCTCATTAAAATTACACTTCATTACAAAAAAAAAAAAAAAGGCTCAGCCTTCCCCAAGCCTCTAACCCTTCCCCCTATCCCTTGCTGTCACTCAGTGTTGACGTGAGGCGGGTTTCAAACAGGCCTCCCCCCCACACCTCCCGGTTATTAACACGGAGGGAGGGAGGGAGAGAGAGAACATTAAAAGTCCCCATTGCCCTCTTCTTTGCAACTGATCTCCCTTCTCCTTCCATGGCCCCCCTCCCTTCAACATCCTCACCATTCCCCACCTCACCCCTGTGTTTGGGAGGGGGAGACTGGAAGGCACTTAAAGAGACAACTACCTTAAAAGCAGAGGGTGGAAAATGGAGGCAGCCTGACAAGCTTCGTTATAGGATTGCGAACAAAACACAGCCACCCCTTAGAAGAGGCATTAGCAAAACCTCCCCGGGTGAAGAGCTTTGTGTGTCCTCTGCATGAAGTTACCCAGGCAAATTGCTGTGTGCTCTTCTGTGGCTCTGCCCAGAGTTTCCCGAGGATTTAGCATCGGTAGCCTGACTCAAGGGGACGGAGGTGGATTTCCCAGGCAGTGCCCAACCAGACTCTGCCCAGATCCAGACCCACACAGTATCCGCAAGCTTTGCCGCATCACGTGTCCCCCTGCTAGCAAGAGCCAAGAAAGCTGAGGAACGCTGGGAGTTGCCATAGACCGGGTCAAATCGTTTGTACTTCTAACCCAACTAGTGTCTGGTTTGACAGACAGCTTCTCTCCAGGGTCTCAGGTAAGGATGCTTGAGGAATCGACGAGTGCTATAGAACCCTCATGCACACCAACCTGTTCTGCTCCTACCCAGACAAATGAGCAAAGCACGATGCAACTATCCGTCACATCTCCCGAATTCTGGAATGAGAGTTCTCCGTTCAAAAAGGGGGGGAAAGGCTACACATACCAAAATGCATTTTAAAATGTGTGATTTTAAGGTGAAACAAAGCTGCACAATACATAAGGATAAACATTTAAAGATGCAATTTTGATAATAAAATACGTAAATACTACTTAAAATGAAAATTTAAGTGGGAATATTAATGCAGGTCTTCTTTTAGAGGGGGAGGAAATCATAGATGAGTGGAGCAGAACAGTCTTATGGCTTAACACATGCAGATATGTCAGAAATAGATTGCTCCATCCCTCCTTTGTCTCGGGTAGAGGTCTTTCACATCACCCGATTCTTCTAAGTGGAGATGTCGAGGGTCAAACCAGGGACAATGGGTGTGCTCTACCACTAAACCATGGCTAGGACATCTTCACAGCTTCCATGCCATTCTATGCACAATGCTCTATTTGGTTTGGGAGCAAGGTATAGCTGAAAGATCTGCCACATGAAGCCGACTATTCCTTAAGTCCCTGCTTTGGCTGCCGCCACCCTGAGGTTAGGCGAGTGGCAACCAGTGACGGGGCCTGCTCTGTGGTGGCACCCTACTTAGAAAAATGGCTTACTTAGCACAGCCATTGGTCACGGATGATGGGAATTGCAGCCTAGCAACTTCTGGAGGGCCACAGGTTCCCTCCAGCATTACGAGATTACTGTCCCAGCTTCCCCCTTCATGGTGCTGGGACAGCAAATAACTACAGACCACTGAGATTCTTGCAGATCTAGAAATGGAAAGTCTGTACCTCTGTGATAAGAGCAGAGGCTTTGCCCATAAAAGGCTCCAGGTTCAATCCCAGGGATCTCCAGGTTGGGCTGAGAAAGGTTCTTGCCTGAAATTGTTGCAAGCTGATGTTGGTCATGGTACACAATTCTGACACTGAGTTGGGGAAAGTTGCTCTATCTAGGCCAGTTAGAGCTCTCATTCATTCCCTTTCCTCCGACATGAGATATTACCTTGGGTTGGATCGTGGTTCTCCCAGAAAAACCTGAGAAGGTCCTCGTAGCCAATGATCTGTGGGTCAAACACAACTCTGACCACTTCCGCATGTCCTGTCATCCCTGGGAACGAAGAAGGTGGAGGAATAGATTGTTATTCCGTAAGCCTGAAAATTCCCTTGCTCCTTTGGATTAGCACAGTGGCTTGTTGTAAGCGCCGTTCCCAGGAAGGATTGCTGTAGTGCCCATCAGCTGACTGGTGCTTACAACTAGCCTGTTCTGGGCAGGGTTCAGCTGCGCTACAGAATTCCAAGTTGGGAAGTCTGGCCTGTGGGCCAAAACAGCTGATATCTGCCCCTAGTGGCTGACCAGAGCTTACAGCAAGGCCGCTGGGATCAGCACCAAGAAGCATGAACGTGCAAGCAGGCACATTTAGAAAATAGCCGCTTTGCTCTTCCCTTGGTCCAGCTGCCACTGTGATACCGACAGCTACCCCATGGTTTGGCTTAGCTTCATATCTGAATTTAGGCTCATGGTTGGTCTCCCGAAAACAAACCATGAGAAGCAAGCCAAGGACAAGTCTCGCTTACAGATTGTGATGCATTTGGAGCAAGACAAACCACGAACCTGGCTTCGGGCATGACAGTAAGCCAAACCATAGCTTAGCCCTCAACAGCATGGCAGCAGCATAGTTTGGCTTAGCGCTACGCAAGATGCAGGTCAGTGAAGGCAATATGGCCATTGTGCTCCGGTCCAGCTTGCCGGCTTCCCTGACTGGCCACTGTGTGACCAGGATGCTGGACTTGATGGGCCACTGGCCTGATCCAGCAGGCCCTCCTCCTTCTCCCACTATGCCTGCATATAGGACCGCATCTGCATTACGCGGAGTAAGCCTCACCAAACTGTTCTATGATCTGCATTATGTTTTGCATCACATTTCTGCATGCCACCCCAATATTCTCCAATTCTCCAAACTCCGAAACAAACAGTTGGCCAACTGATGGCTGAACCCCCCCCCAAAGCAAAACAAATCCTGCATCCGCCTTAACAGTACTGAGCAGAATTTTATGCATGCGGGTAGATTAGGGAAGATAGAACCACGGCAAGCAACGCTGCAAGGGTTAACCCAGAGCCTCCTTCCCTATTGGTAGTAGCTGAAAAGTCAGGATGGGGATGGGGGAGAGCGGTGCTCACTACCGCAACACCTCCCCCACCCCTCCCACCCCAACAGGGCTGGAGATGCTTCTGGGGAGGCCATCTCCCTTGAGCAGTTTCCAGTTAATTTTGCTCAAGCAAACCTGCTGCCCCTCACACGGTAATTAAGAGGAAAAGGAGGGGCTACCGTGCAATGTGATGAGCAAGGCAGCCGAGCGAGCCACTAGCGCCTGCTGAGAGCTGCCCTATATACAGGCGGATGGGGAGGAGCAGATGGGGAACAGCCACAGGCTCTTTTGCCCAGGATGCATTAAGGTGGGGACCGCAAGCAGAAGGGAAGGGCAAAGCCTTCCCACTCCCATCCCTGCTCCCCGTCTTCTCCTGCTTGGCAGGCCAAGGTCTGCAGGCAGAGCAAGGAGCTGTGTGGCTCGGGGAGCAGCCATGCTAGCAAAGCAACACTCCTCCCTCCAGCACACACACACAAAAGTGTGTGTGTGTTGAGAATCACACTCCCCTGCGGCAGAGAGAGATTTGCAGCTGCAGCCTCAAAATAGGCCTGCATCTCGAGGCTGCTGCAGCGTGCCGATGCGCACGGCCGTGCATCTCTTGCCCTCTGCTGCACCCAAGGAGGCACTGCATAGCTGCACGCCAGAATCCCTACACTGTCGGGCAAAACTTTTCCTCCAACAGCCTTGAAAGGCAAAAGCAGAAGGAGCACGGATAGGCACAAGCCCGGGGCAGGGGAGCTGATGTCACCACTATGATCTGAAGCACAGCCCCAGTTAAGCCAGTTTTGCCTGCCTGGGTGTGCTGATTGAGCTTTGCTGCAAAACTACCTGTAGGTAAAGGATGAAGGAGAAGGTCCTTCGGTACACTGCACTGGGGGCGCAGGGGGTAAAATAAACCACCGGGTTATGCCCTGACCATTTTGCAGTGGTAATAAAGAACCGGGCCAAACCCAGATTCTGGGACAGGCCCTCTCTACTCTAGTAATCCAGTACTATTGCTCCTGTCATCACCTGCCCATTCATTTGTTATCACTGCCCATTCACCCTCCAAGGCCCAGCCTATCCAGATGGAGAGGTCAAAGCAAGCAGAGGCTGCTTGCTGCTCTTGTCGTCACTTGTGCACCAGGAGAGGGCAGTCGAACAGGAATGTGGAGCAGAGGCAATGAAGACAGGGCATAGGGAGCTAAGCTGAGACAGCCCTGCTACTAGAGAGGGGCTTGCCAGGTGCCAACTCATGACGCCAGCCCTGCTTGGGGCGACAAGATCATCTGGTTTGTGCATAGGCTGCATTCTGTAATAAGCCAGGTAGCAAAAGGAAGGAGGAAGAGCAGGTCTGTGAGGCCCTGGGTGGAAACAGCAGGACCCTTGTAGGGCAAAGCAGGTGGAGGCCCTGGCTGGAGGGGGACCCTGTAGGGGGGTTCCTGCAAGGGCAACTGAGTCTCCTTCCCTACTCACTTAACACAATACAGTATGGAATTTATTCCCTTTTCGGTTGCCATATGTGGAGTCGTTGCAGCGACCCATAGTTAAGAGGAGAAGTCGGCAAAGGTGTCCTCTTTTTTGCTCTTCAAAATAAGGCAGCTTCTAGCCCAGGGATAGGAAACTGGTGCCCCTCTGTCACGTTACTCAACTCCTATCCGCCTCAGCTAGCGTAGTATCAGGAATGGTGGGAGTTGTTTTCCAGCAACATCCAGGGGGCGGCCACAGGTTCCCCATATCTGAGTCCTAACCAAAAATAAGACATTTAATCCTGAGCTGAGGATTTTAACATCTGCACCAGTATTACTTAAGATCAGGCCTTGCTTCTCCTCCCCAGAGATGCCAAAGGATCTCCTAGTCTCCTTTCCTCCCAGATGGCACCCAGGGAGCAGATACAGACTTAAATTTGAAAAGCAAGAGAGGGACACTCTTTCTCTCTCTCTCTCTGGAGATGCATCATCTCAGCCCAGTTAGGGAAGGGTTAAGCTCAGAGACAGGTTATAATTAGATGCATCTCTGCTACATTTACAGCCCAACACAGTATGTATGTATGGGGAGGATGAAGAGATAAGAGTCTGTTGCCTTCTTTTATCTGCAGCCAGCCAACCAGCAGAGAAGGAGAGTCGACTGGGAAGGGTGTTCAGACTGGGAAGGGTGTGTTCAGCAAGGCCGGGCAAAAGAGCTGCTACCCCAAATAGCCAAGCACAGCAATAGCAAACAAGACTACCATTTCATTAGGAGGGCAAGAGATAAGGACAGCCCTGCTGGATCAGCCCAGTGGTTCCTCTAGACCAGCATCCTGTTCTCACTGTGACCAACTAGATGCTGATGGGGATGCATCTGAGGACCTGAGGGCAGCAGCTCCCTCCCCACTTCTGACACCAAGTGACTGGGATTCTGATTCGTCCCTCTGCCAGGGGAAATAGAACACAGCCATTGTGTGTAGAAGCCACAGAGAGCCTCATCCTCCATTTGTCTAATCCTCTCGTTCTTTAAGTTAAATAAAAACAAATCAAAAGTGTTGGTAAAAAAATATGACAGAACTACACAAAAAGGACTTAAGACAAAAAACAGAACTGTTAATAGAAAAAAAAGGTGAAATACTTAGGGGTAAGGTTGACAGCAAAAAATACAAATATCTTTGAACACAACTATATAACCACTTGGAAAGAAATAAAGAGAAATTTGGAGGTATGAGGGAGGATGAACGTATCATTGTGGGGAAGGATCTCAGTAATAAAAATGAATGTATTGCCAATAATGTTATTTCTATTCCAGTTGATTCCAGTAATCAGTGGAGCAGGACATTTCAAACAATGACAGAAAGATATTTCAAAATTTATCTGGCAGGGGGAGAAACCAAGGATAAAATATAAATTGTTAACAGATACTAAGGAAAAAGAGGTGGCTTTTCCCTGCCAGACTTGAGATTATACTATGAGGTGTCCTGTATTTGCTGGCTTCAGGAGTGGATTGTTCTAAAGACTGTTCTATGGAGAAGTACTTTCAACAGTCTTCTGCTATTCAGCTTCCCTGGATGCCCTGAGAAGCCCACAAGGACCTGTGCGCCACAGAACTCAATCCTCCTGTAGTTTCCAGCAGCTGGTATTCAGTCGCACATGACCTCCAAACATATCCATGAGGTCTAGTAGCCACAGCAGTTGCGTAGGAAGGGGGGCATGGCACCCCTGGGCAGCACTTGAGGCTGGGGGGTGCCTGAGCTGCCGCCTCCTCCTGGGCACCCTCTAGGCTTAGCTCTGCCCAAAAAAGCAGTGCAGAGCATGGGTTTCCATGCTGGTGAACCATCGTGTTCTCCATAGATTTGCCCATGTTGTTGGTGGGCATCCCTGCCTCTTGTGGGAACAAACTCCATAGTTTATCTATGATAGGCAGGTCTATGGTTGGATCTGGAGAGAAAGAATCAAATTACATTTGTACAAAAATGGCTGCCAACCAGACAGCAGTATCTGTGGGCAGAACTCTATCCAAAATCCAACGAATATTTATCGTTGGTTTACATGAAAATTCTGTCAGTCAGGCATTCACTTCGAGTCCTTCATGCCCCACTATAATCTCTTCAAATTACTCCTTCGGGGTGTGTGTGTGTGTGTGTGTGTGTGTGAGAGAGAGAGAGAGAGAGAGAGAGAGAGAGAGAGATATCCTTAAGGAAAACTTGAGCCATTATATCCTATCTCGATCATCTGGAGGAGCGCTGTAAGCTGATGCCCATGTTACAGAAACCCAAATAGCCTCAGCTTAAAGTTGGGCATTTAGTGTGGTCCACCCTTTGCTGTGGGACACAACTTTAGCATAGATTCAGCACCTATATTCCCTCTGGACTTTCAGGCATTTTTAAAAAGCATTTTTAAAAAAGGAGATAGATAGAAGAATTACACAACTTTTAGAAAACATCAGGGAAGTTTTTAATGTCTGCCATATTATTATTTTTTATATTTTGCTGGAAGCCACCCACAGTGGCTTGGTAAACCCAGCCAGATGGGCAGGGTACAAATTAATAAAATTATTATTATTATTATTATTATTATTATTATTATTATTATTATTATTATTATGTCAATGGGCCTTTGCATCTGTTTAATTAGCCAGTCCCTTTAATGGTTATTGTATTGTTTTAAACCGTTTTTTTAACACTGCGTCCCGAAAGTTTATAATATGGCAGCCTAGAAATACTTTCCCATAAATAAAATAATTAAAGCCCCTCCTTTTCCCAGCTGCATTGTGTTAATACCCAGAATGTAGACAACAGACGTGGATAATATTTCTTGCAGACAGATAATCCCCTGTACCAGCACTCAAAATGTTTTCACAGATAAGCTGCAAAACCGTCTGTTCTGATTCATCCAGGTTGGGGATGTTGCGGGGGGGGGGATTAACTTCGCCAATAAATGCATTGGCGTGCCGACGGGGAAAATGGGGCAGCCACATCCTGCACTGATATTACTAAAAGGGTAGTGCTATCTCTCATTAACAACGGGGGGCCCTCAAACCCTTCCACAGCTGCTCCAGATTCTGATGGGAAGGCCCAAATAAGGCCAAGGCGACCTCCCTTTACCAAGCCAAACATGTGAGCTGATGCTAATGTTTCGGAAGAGGGGCACCTCAACAGCTTCTTCTCTCCAGCAGAGCTAGCCAATGAGGTGCACTCCTGACTTTCCTAGTTTCCCATCAGGACCAACAGTCAGGCATGATAAAAGTTGTCATCCAAGAATGTCCAGAGGGCTACCTCTTTGTTAGAGCAGAGGTGGGGCAAAACATGGCCTTCCAGATGTTGTTGAACCACAGCTCCCATCAACCCTGGCCATTGGTTGTGCTACCTTAGAGCTGATGGAAGTTGAGAGTCCCAACAACCCTAGAGGTCCCCACCTCTACTTTTGAGTCCTATGCCTGTTCTTAGCAGATTGGTATTCTTGCCTGGTTGACCTCTGGAATGCAGAAGTGTCCCAGGCGACTGGTTACCAATAGGCAGGAGATGGGGCTCCAGTCTTCTGGGTACCAAACTGTCATGGAATTGTAGGGTTGGAAGGGATCCTGAGGGTCATCAAGTTCAATGCAGGAATATCAGATAGATCAGGCATCCCCATCCTGCGCCCCTCCAGATGTTTTGGCCTACAACTCCCATGATCCCTAGCTAACAGGACCAGTGGTCAGGGATGACGGGAATTGTAGTCCAAAACATCTGGAGGGTCGAAGGTTGGGGATGCCTGAACTAGATCATACGTGAGTGATAGCCATCCAACCACTGCTTAAAAACCTCAGAGGAAAGGCAGCCTGCCACTTCTTGTGGGCTCCAGAACCAGAATTAAGTACGTAAAACATGCAAACATATGCTGGTTTTATCTTCCTTAGATACCTTGCCCAGTGGAATAAGAGGTGGGTGGCTGCTAGGAAAACAGCCTTTTTGTTGGCATCTTGCTTACACAATGCCTTCCCCAGAAAGGCTTGCCTGGCAGTGGGGAACATGTGGCCCTGCAGCTATTTCTGGACAACTCCCATCATCCATTGGCCATGCTGGCTGGGGATGATGGGAGTCCAACAATGTCTGACGGGCCACAAGATTTAAAGTCCCCTGCTTTAGAGTCTCAGATCTGGTCTCATTTCAATTGCTTTTGTTTGATTTGCTTATTGCAAACAGCTGAAAGCCTGTAAATTTTGATAATAAACCCGATTTGCAAGGGGGTTGAATAATTTCGATTGCAACTGCATGTTGGGATATTACCTCACAGGTTAACTAGGCAAGAAGATCATAACCAAAACCCTCCACAAGGACTAAGAGAGGTAGGGGTAGGGGGAAAACCACTCACCACTGCGGACTTCCTTGTAGGTAGGGTTGGGGGTAAACCCTCCTGAGAAGCCCACCTGGGTGGAGAAGACACCCGGCAGCTTCCAGAACATTCTCTCCGCTCCCCAGAAACACCCCATGCCTGGGTAGAGAAAGAGGTAGGAGAAAACCCAAACATTATGAATAGGCTGCAGAAAGAATTCTTGGAATTTTGAATTGTTCCAGCATTTTATCACTGCTATGAAGGGTGTGTGCTGATGTTTCCCTGCCGCAGGCAATGTGTTCACTGAATATGCAGAAGGGGGTGGGACCATGTCTCTTGGCTCCACCCCAACCATGGCAGATTCAATGTCAGGGATGCGGGGTGGGTGTCAATACACATAAGGCTCCTTTCAAACTAGCGCCAACACCTAGGGGCAGAGGAAGTGGGCAGGGCCAGTGAGCATGCTTCATGCATTCAGGAAACACACCATGGCTGTCTCAGGTCGCACCTACACAATAAATTTAAAGGACTCTTATGCCCCTTTGAAAAGTCATGGCTTTCCCCCAAAGAAACTGGGGCAAGTATCACTGATTATGGGTGTCAAGAACTGTAACTGCGAGGGTAAGCTACAGTTCTCTTTTGCAGGGAAATCATAGCTGTCCATCGGTGGGCCAAATGATTTCTGGATTCATTTCATTACTTTCTGTTCTAGGGCAAGATTTGAGGACAGCCAGTACTGAAACCCAACGGGGGCGGAGAGAAATTGTACTCAAACCTGGCCATGAAACAAGAACCAGTCACGTACCAAATATTGCCATCTGCATTCCTTCCGGGAATGGCGGGTACATTGGATTTTTGTTGACGGCATGGCTGGCTGGCAGGAGGAAAGAGAAAAAGATGTGAAAATCTCCTCACTAAGTCTCCAGGAGCTGGGTCATAACAAGGATCACAAAACAGTGCAGTGGGGCTTACACCACTGAGACTGCACACTGCAATCCTATACGCAGGGGTAGCAAATGGTGCTGACCTTTAAAGCTCTAAATGGCCTCAGCCCAGTATACCTGAAGGAGCATCTCCACCCCCATCGTTCAGCCCGGACACTGAGGTCCAGCTCTGAGGGCCTTCTGGTTGTTCTCTCACTGCGAGGTTATAGGGAACCAGACAGAGGGCCTTCTCGGTAGTGGCTCCCACCCTCTGAAACACCTTCACATCAGATGTCAAGGAAATAAACAGCTATCTAACTTTTAGATGGCAGTCCTATTTAGGGAAGTTTTATTGTTTGATGTTTTATCTTGTTTTTAATATTCTGTTGGGAGCCGCCCAGAGTGGCTGGGGAGGCCCAGCCAGATGGGCGGGGTATAAGTTGTTTTGTTGTTGTTGTTGTTGTTGTTGTTGTTGTTGTTGTTGTTGTTTCTTGCTCTCTCCAGCTCACAACAGTCCCAGACAGCATGGACCATGATCAGTGTTGATCAACTTTATTCTGACAACATCCAGAAGGTATCACCTTGGCTATCCTTGCAGTATACACCTACTATCATAGAATCATATGTTTGGAAGGGATCTTGAGGGTCATCTATTCCAACCCGCTTTGCCAGTTCAAGATCTGCCGTGCAGAATGTACTGAAGAACATAAAAAGAGACCAGGCCAAAGGCTCACCAACAGCGGAGCCTTATCCTCCATGGATGTATCTCTTACTATGGTTATTATTCCTTTTCTCGTGGACCAGCAAGATTTCCTTTACATTGAGTGCTTGGTATCTCCCCAGTTCCCTTTCCAATTTTTGAAATTTATATTTATTAAATTTCTATACCACCCTTCATCCAAGGATCACTATCTGTCAGAACACTGGAAAGTGGGGGAGCCTCTTTAAATAGTCACAAGCTCTTCCCAAAGAATTCTGGAAGCCGTACTTTGTTATGGGGCTGAGACGAGCTAGGAGACCCCTGTTCTCCTTCCCAGAATGGTTTAGCCATTGATCCCTTTTTTCACAGGGAACTCTGAGAACTGTAGCTGTGAAGGAAATAGGTATCTCCTAACAACTCTCAGAAGGGATGTGGGTGGTGCTGTGGGTTAAACCACAGAGCCTAGGACTTGCTGATCAGAAGGTCAGCGGTTCGAATTCCCAAGACGGGGTGAGTTCCTGTTGCTCGGTCCCTGCTCCTGCCAACCTAGCAGTTGGAAAGCACGTCAAAGTGCAAGTAGATAAATAGGCACCGCTCCGGCGGGAAGGTAAATGGCGTTTCCGTGCGCTGCTCTGGTTCCAACCAGAAATCATTTTTCCCCACCAGAAAAGAGACACCCCCCATTATTACAACAATTTGGTAGGATGCCAAGAATATTGTTAAGTACTATTACATGGCCGTCATCAAAAACTGGCACAGTTAGGCACTTTCTAAGTTTGAGAGGCCAGCAGAGGGCTCACTGCTGACCCAAGATGCGGAGTCCATCTCTCATTAGCAGCAGGAGAAATAAGGGTGCAAGAGTCAATCTCCTCTTCCTCCTCCAGGCATCTCTACCCCGGGGCAATGGGCACTCACACACACACACACACACACCCCACACACACTGCCCAAGGAATCACTGCAGAGGTTTCTGGGGATGAGCAAATAGATCAATTTCAGTTCCTCATTTTTCCAGCCCTAAGTTCAATTTTCCAACATTTTTCCATTTCAGTTTGCAATATGAATAATGGCCTCGTTGCAATTCATTTGCATTTCTCCAAATATACACATTGCCTCCCCTCCCCCACCAAAAAGAGCTTTCTCCAATATTTTGTATGTTACTTTCACCTGTACATGAATTTATATGCACACTTAGTCTATGCTAGAGAACTGCATTGCAAAACTAGGACAAGCGCGGATTTCGAAGGAGTCCCATGTGCTTCGGTTCACATCTTATTTCGGAAAAATGCAAAGTGGGTAGGTCCGACTTTAAATGCAAACTGAATCAAATTTCTCCTACCACCCATCCTTATAGAGTGGTACCTTGGTTTACAACCATAATCCATTCTGGAGGTCCGGTTGTAAAGCAAAACAGGTTGTCACCCAAGGTGCACTTTCGCCAATGGGGCCTCCCCCAAAAATGGGTTGTGATCTCCCCAAAAATTGGGGTGTAATCCAAACAAAGGGATACACACTTCTGGGTTTGACGTGGCTGTAATCCAAAATGGTTGTAATCCAAAGCGGTTGCAAACCAAGGTACCACTGTATCTGGGGCAATCTTGGTTGGAGGTGGGGGGGAGGCACAACCTGGTGACTGTGCAGCCAAAGCCTTTTTTCACTCTGCTATCTTAGCCAAGAATCCAAATGGAAACTCGGGGTGTTGGAAGGGCACCACAGCATAGGGAGACCCATGGGCACCCTGTGATTTGAGAGCCCACAGAAAACGGCAACCAGACCCGCTCCACAGAACCCAGAAGCGATCGGCGCCATGAATCGAAGGGCTCACAACAACTTATTCTCAGCGAGACTTTTAAAGGGATTAGACAAATTAATGGAGGACAAGGTTGCCAATGGCTACAAGCCATTATGGCTATATAATACCTCTAGGATCAGAGGCAGCATAGCATTCCTTTGGATACCAGTCCCAGGGGAATAACAGCAGAAGAGGGGCATTGCCCCCCCCCTTGCCCTGCTGCTGCGCTCCCCCCAAAGTATATGGCTGGCCTTTGGCCTGATCCAGCAGAACTCTTCTTATAGAATCATAGAACTGGAGGTGGAAGGGACCACTAGTTCAACCCTCTGCAATGCAAGTATCTAAACTAAAACTCTCCCGAAGCAATTCAGAGGTACACTGCCTCTGATGCAGGACGTGAAAAACAGCCGTCATGGCTAGTAGCCATTGATGGCCTTATCCTTCATGAATTTGTCTAATCACCTTTCAAAAGTTGGTGGTTGTCACCTCTTGGCGAACGCATTCCATAGTTCTAACTACATGCACAAAAATTTCCAATACGTAATATTTTTTTCTTTCGTTTTGTTGACTTCTCACCCCGTTTTCCATTGGGTTCTTTATTTCTCCCCCTTGCTGCACCCTATCTTCTCTCTCTTATACCGTAACAACACTACAACAATTTCTGCTTCCTTCTGTTGCTCGTAGTTCAAATCCTGTTCGCGAATTCATCATGCTATAGTATTTATTTAAATAATCCGGATTTTCCAACGGTTGGTTTCATTGGAAGTTACCGAGTTCTAGCCCAGGCAACTCCCAGTTTAGGTGCATTGGAATGACAAGCAATCATGCACACAGTGCCAAACCCTGAAGTAGCCCTAAAACGTCACGAAAACGTCATATAAAGGGGCAGAGTGGGCTTATGTGCACTCCGCCAATGTGCGCAGGGCTCCAGGATGGAACTTCCATGCAAAACGAGGATTACATGTGTACCTGAAGGAGCGTCTCCACCCCCATTGTTCTGCCCGGACACTGAGGTCCAGCACCGAGGGCCTTCTTGTGGTTCCTTCACTGCGAGAAGCCAAGCTACCGGGAACCAGGCAGAGGGCTTTCTCAGTGATGGCACCCGCCCTGTGGAACACCCTCCCACCAGATCTCAAAGAGAAGAACATCTACCAGACTTTTAGAAGACAGCCAGATGGGTGGGGTATAAATAATAAATTATTATTATTATATTATTATTATAATGAGAAAAGGAGAACAACCTCTCCAGATGAACTTTCTCCACACAGCATCATTTCCTCTCTCACTTGCCTTTCCTCTAATCCACTGGTTCTCAAACTCTTTCTGCCCCCTTGGTTCCGTCATCTCATCACTGGTACCCCTTACCCTAACCTATAAAAATCATTATTCAGAATAAAAGCTTCCACAGCCCACTATGGATGATAATAACACAACAGGCGTCAAAACAGTAGCAATTAATTTCAGGTTTATTCAAAATCAAATCAAGACTATTCAACAAAATGGGTGACCTTGATCCCATGATGCCAACCTTTCCAAGTCTGAAAGACTTTTACATCTCCACCTCCTCCCTGCCACCTGCTTGCTTCTTAACACTACCCCCCAGAGGGTAGCAGCACCTACTTTGGGAACCACTGCTTTAAAGAAAAAAGCCCCAAAGATTCCTTAAAAGGGGGTTGTCAGCAGGAGGTGGACTGGCAGGAAGTTGAACGAGGGTGCAGGTCCCAATGCCAAGAGCCTGGGGTCAGACCACTCATGGAATAGAACCACAGAATTGTAGAAGTTGGAAGGAACCAAACTAGTCCAACTCCCAGCAATGTAGAATCCTGCCCACAGCTCTCCCTAGGTGGGCTTGAACCACCAACCTTCTGGTTAACAGCCAGATGCACTGACCCACTGCACCACTGGGGAACAAAGCTGTCAGAACAGTGCCAGGCAGCTGCACAGCCCAAGAAACTAGGCCTCCTGCTAATCTGAATCCACAGGCAAACCCCAGCATCTCTAGGGAATGCACACTCAAGTTATACACTCCCTCTATCACAGATTAAGGCTACAAAAGCCCAGGACTGGTTTCTCTCCTCACCTGCACTCCGCCCCAGTCCTGCTTCCGCTGCAGATCTCTATTTTAAGACTCTACCCAACAGCACGTGATCAATCAGCAGGAAGGCTTGCTTCATGAGCAGCTTCCAACCCCAATAGATGGAAGCAGGCTATGTTTATAGACGGCCTGGGACAGATCAGCCGAGTCCTGCCTTGGCTTTAGTGCTGCTTGCTGGGGCCTCCCGAGGTGAAGCGGGAGGGAGGGGGAGTCCGCAAACCTTCCTGGAAGATTAGCCTGGACATTCTCAATGTGGGCAGCTGCACATAACTCAACCCTGTGAGTTAGGGCATCCCCGTTGCTTCCTCTGACCTTAAGCGCCATTGGTTATTATACGGATCAGCGGAGAAGGGGCACTGCCAAGGGGCACAATGGCTGCTTGCGTAGAGAGAAGCAGGAAGTCTTTCTCTAGGATACCCAAGCAGCAGGGGCAGAATGCAATGGTGGAGGGGGCGGAGGGGAGGGAATGGGCTTTGGCCGAAGGAGGATATGCAAGAAGAAAGCGAAGATCGACAATGTTTGGCAGCAGGCATGTAAGAGGGAAACAGCTGATTAGTCAACCCAAACCAGAACACAGCTCTGTAGTCTCATAACCTGCATTGTGTAGATGAGTCATAATTGTTCGGTAAACAAACATGCATTCCAATGTTTTCCAATTATATTTTATATAGGGAGATTGGGGAATCCCAACAAAAATGGGAAATATCTGCCCCATGTACAGAACAGCAATCAATCCAGCAAATGTGATTGGCATTCACTGTTGTTGTTGTTGTTGTTGTTGTTGCTTTCAGTCTACAAACGACACGTAACTGATCACGTCCCCCCAACCCTTTGCACTGAAACTGAGTGGCAGTGTGATTTCTGTGAATAATTGTAATGTTGCCACAGCAGACTGTGAGACGAACAAGACAGGTTTTGGTGGAAGATGAAATGGAAAAGGAACAGGACTGCATGTGATGAATATAGGACAGAAGGGAAAACTCTGTCTTCTTACATCACTACTTTTAAACAACTATTGGATGAAATTAGCAGAGTCCATGGAATTCATACACCCATGTTATCAGGTAAAAAAAAAATTACCATAGGGACTGTTTTACAGAATTTTACACTTAATAACGGCCATGACTCCAGGAGCCAAAAAGACAGCAGAAGGCTGAGTGCCCATGCAATGCTCGCCTCTCGCACATGCAATGTGGTCATTCTGAACAACACCAAACATTGTAGTCAGGGAAGAGATGTGGGTTGAGAAACATCAGTGCAAAATACCGGTATGCATGATTTCTCTTATTTTTGCACTATTTATTTTGATTTTGAGTCACGGGGGTTTTGAGACCTGCTGGAGGAGACTGAAGCCCACCCGCCAAACTTTGCAAATCTTCACAGCTGTAGAACACTAGAAATGGGACTCTTTAAACACACACAACACAACACACAATTCTCAAGAAGTTAAGAACCTTTGCCCAACAGCACATTCTGAGCTTTTTTCACTCAGCCATGAAGTTCACTGGGTGAAATTGAGGCCAATCATTAACCTATCTCACAGGGTTGCTTAGAGGACAAAATGGGGAGAGGGCCACAGCGGCTGCTTTAATGTCCCTGGAGGAAAGCTAATATTTAAATGTTACTATATAACTAAAAACCTGCATGCTTCCTTTCCTAATAAAAATTCATCCAAGCCAGCTTATACAGTAAGATATTAAGTGATACAGTGTGGTATAACAGTTAAGAGTGGCAGACTAAGACCTGGGAGGCCAGGGTTCAAATCTGCCCTCAGCCAGGAAGCTCACTGGGTCAACTTGGGCCAGTCACTATCTCCTAGTCTCACCTACCTCACAGGGCTGTTGTGGGGCTTAATGAGGGGAGGAGAACTATGCATGCCACATTGAGCTCCTTGGAGGAATAATAAAAATAATAAAATAAGAGTACGTCTACTGTAACAAATAAAATAGTGTTTCCCTCACAAATTCCCAAAGAACAATTCTAATAACAAATACTATGTATTATAGAAAAGATCACACAATGTTAAGACTGGCCTGCAGTGGCTTTTGAAGCAGTGTGTCAGCAAACTGTTCTTAAAAACTTTATTAATTTTTAAAGTACATATTTAATATCAGAATGGAACTGAATGTACTGGGATATGGAAAGAAAACTGGGAGGGGGGGGAGCATATTTGAAATAAATGAATAGGGAGCATCTGGTTCAATCTTTCATTCGTTCCAAACCAAATGCATTGGGGAATGAATGGATATTCTTTTCATCGCTTTCATTCATGTCGGTTGGAGGTAGGAGAGCTCACCTGCTCTGGCAGCAAAAGGGGAGGCTTCTCATCATCTGTGCCATTCCAGGCACTGTAGGTAAATAAAGTGGTCTCCCCCCGTCCATCAAAAGTGGTCGCCACCTGCCACAATTCCCCCCCACCCCTGTGCCAACGTCATAGCACAGGGGATTCTGGGTAAATACAGCAGTGGCTGCAAGAAGCAGGTACCCTCCTGCCTCCCTGATCAGCCTAGCTGCTGCCACTGCAGGCAGGGGTTAAATAAAAAAGGCACAAAAAAGAAATGGCAAAAAGAAATGTGAGCAAGGAAATATGTGGTTTCTATGCGTGAATCACAAAACAAATGGCTGAAACGACCAAACAAAATGAACTGAGTACCAAAACGAGGGGCAATACAAGAATTCACTGTGTGCCTCTGTAGGAAACTGCTGCCTTGCCATTGTGTGTTTGGACAGCTAAGAAAGTTTCAATTGAGCTACATCCTGGTCTAGTCATAACATTTTTTAAAAAACCAACAACAACAAAGGAACTGTCTGCACTCCCTTTTGGCTACGTGTACATTGCAAAGCCACAGCACGCCCCCACGTCAAAAGGAAACTCGCCAGCTGCAGAGTGTGAAATGGCCCGCTGTACAAGGATGATGCCTTCATGCAGATATGGGATCTGTGGCCCTCCAGATGTTGCTGGACTCCAGAGCCCATTATCCCTGACCCCGTGGCCACAGGGGCTGGAGCTGATCAGAGCTGGAGTCCATCGACATATAGATAGCTGGTTCACCATCCATGCCTTGAGTTAATGCATGTGCAGTTACATACGTGAATATTAAAGAGTTCACATGAATTTGCTCCCTTACCTATGCATTTAATTTTCCAGAAACCTAAACAAGCAGGCTGAAACCTCAAAAAACGAGGCCTCCAGCATGCGGGAATTCATTGTAAAGGAGAAATTTTAAAGAGACAACTAGGAAGCATGATTTTCCAGAGGCAAGAAAGGCACCAGGAAATCAGCGTTGTCACAGAAAGGTAAGGCACATCCAAAAAGATAGCCTGCCCAGCTTCCTTAAATCCTTACTTGGTGAAAGAGAAATTAGCATTTCAAAGCATCCCAGCCTCTTTGTACCTCAGGATATAGCATACAAGCCAGGTGGTGGCTATATATAATAAATCAACACTGTGTTAACATGTAAAGAAGAGCTGAGGGAAGGTCTGTGGTTCTCTTCTCTTTCTAACGTTCTCCTTAACACATGTTTGCATTGGGAGACTTCCAGCCAACCCAAGCTGCCCTATAGCAGAGAGCTATTTTCCCCGTTTTATCTCTGGCTTTCTGGACCACACCCACCTGATACGCTTTGCAGGGCATTGCACTGGCAATACAAAACCCGAAAAGATGCAGCCATGTCTGTGGTGCTGCCTCCACTGTCCCTAAACCTCAGAGTGCACAAAGCAAATGGGAAAGGTTGGGAAATCAGGGGTCTGCAAGGTGGAATTTGCCCAGGAAAAGGGCCATGGAGAGGATAATGCAATGCCAAATACAGAAATCAGGAGAATAATGGATGCCAGTCGAGAAATAACAAAGCAGGCTGGGGAAGGGTTGTGGAAAACCTGCTTTGCAAGCTGAAGGTCCCCGGTTCGATCCCTGGCATCTCCAAGTAGGGTTGGAAAGAACACCATCTGAAACACTGGAGAGTGGTGCTGCCAGTCCGTGTAAGCAATATAGAGCTAGAAGGGACCAAGATTCTGACTCTGTACAAGGCAGCATCATATGTTCCTAGGACTCAGCCAGCCCAGCCCACAATCATATACCCAACCATCTGGCATGCAGAACAAAAAGAAATGGTAGAGACCCATCATGTGTGAGTTGGTCCTCGATTTTCCTACCTGTCCCGAGCTACCTGCCACAGACTCCGGACGCTGCCCATTCAGGAGCCCAACAAGCCGGGGCCATGCAGGGGAGCCACAGAAGGGGAGATAGCAGATAACCCAAGGAGGAGTCCAAAGGCACGGAGGCCCGCTTGGATCGGCACGATGTTTCGGCTGCCAAAGTGGCCAGGCAGCTCGGCAGCTCCCAGCCAACTCCTCCCTGTCTCTCTGCTTTTCTCTCTCACTCTCACTCCCTTTTCCGAGCGGGAACAAGCAGGCTACATAATTTCCTTGGCCCAGATTCAATTCAATCAGCATAGGAACTGCCACATTCCCTAAACGCAACCCCCCCCCTCTCCGCCTGAAAATATATTGCAAAACAGAACGAGCCAACCAACAGCCTCCACGAGAAAAATATCAAATATGAAATGGATCCCCCTCCAAAATAAATAAAAAATTAAAATGTAGACACAAGAAAATGTCCAGTTCAGTAGCCTGCAATTCCTATTCTCTGCCTTTCTGCGTTTCACCATTTCTTCCTCACCTCCCATCCATACAACATCGCCGCGTCCAGGCTGCCCCAGTCTTCCATGGCATCTCTGCCAAGCATCCTTGGCAGACCTCCAGCCCGTGCCAGCTTTATTCTCTCTCTCCCTCTGTCTCACGGCTTCCCTGCCAACCTTCATCCCAACTGTAGTGGTTCTATGCCACCCTCCACCCCCCCCTTTTCGCTCTACGCCTGCCTGGCGGAACCCAGAAAGCTAGCCAAAAAAAAAAAAAAGTAGGCAGATCCAAACATTCACAGCAACTAGTTTATTTATTTAAAAACACCCACAGAGATAAAGAAAAGAACAGAGCAGAAGCAAAGAAGCTTACCTCCTCTGGTGCGCGGTCCCCCAATTCCTTCAGGCCAGTACCCGCCCTGGACTCCTGTGGGTGCCCGCCTCGTGCCCTCTATCCACAAGAGGTTCTGGGTGTCAGGGAAAGGGGTGGGAGGGGGATAAAGAAAGCCAGAGAAAACAAGACAAGGAGGACCTTGTCGGAAGCCTGGCAACTTTCGCCTCCAAACGGTGCCAGGGTTGCTTCCCCCCTTCTGCCATCAGAAGAACGGGCAGGAAAACAGCCACTCTTTTTATATGGCATCAGCTTGCTGAGGTGCAAAGCATCATGGGACCAAGAGAAAGCGAGAGAAAGAGAAAGGGAGGAGAGAGAAAGAACAACTCGGTAAAGGCAGGAGGAGAAGGGGAGACAATGAGCAAATTTACATTCAACATGCCAGTTCTGCGGCAGGATGCGCACGCGTGTTTTGTGTGTCCAGACAACACACACTGAAGAAGAGATCAGGATTAGCCAAGGAGCCCAAATACCAAGCTGCTAATAGTTCTTCCTAAGGCAGAGGTCGGGAACTTGTGGCCCTCCAGATGGAATACAACTCCCATCATTCCTGATCCCTGGCGGCTACGCTGGCCGGGGCTACTTCAATAACAAATTCATACCTTGCTTGCTCTAAGTACCTGATATGAATCTCTCCCAGACTAGTAACACTGTTTTGCTTGGCACTGCTGCAAAGTTTTGTACCCAGGAGAACAGAAGGAAATATAAAGTATTTGTTTATTTGTGTGTTTTTTTATACCCTGCCTTTTTCCCATATGGGACCTGAAGGTAAAAATTAGAACACTCAAAATACAGGGGGCGAAACCAATCATTTAAAAAACACACACAATTAAACATTGGTAGAATTAAAGCTTGCTTTATTTATTTATTCATTTATATACTGCTGTATCGGGGGGGGGGGAATATCAAAGCGGTTTGCAACAATGCAAAAACTGAAAGCCAAACAATATCATAAAAAGTTTTGTTTTTGTTTTTGTTTAGAAAAAAGAAAAAAACAAACAAGCCAACTATTGTGGGAGATGTATTATCCTGCATAGGCCTGGCGGAATAGAGAAGGCAGGCATTTAAAAGTTGGCACAGAGGGAACCTGCTGAATATCTAGGATCTAAAACCATATGGATGGTTACAATGATAACACTACAGCACCAGCCCTGTCATTAAAAGCAGTCGGTTCCTCAAAGCCTGTGGAAACAAAAAAGTCTTCACCTGCCATCAAAAGGACAGCAAGGAGGGATCCAGCCCAGCTTCTTTAGGGAGGGAGTTCCAAAGTCTAGGAGTAAGCATATGAAACAAAACACTCCATGACTTGCTTGAGAGTAAAGTATCAGTTTGGTTTGGTTTTCTAAGAAACAGGGGAGTAACCAGAATAGGGAGAAGTTGTTATTGTTTTAAAAAACCTGGACCTTTTGCAAGAAAAAACCTGACTGAGGAGCCAAGTTGATCTGCAACCAGTTCAGCTGAGATGTGATCCAAGATCTTCTTGCACTGTCGAGGGGGCAAACTGAGTAGAAAGAGGACCGGTGCTGTTTCAAGATTATGAGTTCCAGAGAGTCGACTGTGTTAGTCAGCTGCAACAAAAAACGGGCGGCTGCATTCATAGGCACATTTACCTGGAACAAGTCTCAGTGACCACCCTGGGTCCAGCTTCTGTGTGAACATGCCTAGGCTTCCACTAAGTATTGAGCAAGGAAGCTTCAGAATGCAAGGTACATGCTTTGCCACTGAGCTACAACCCTTCCCAAGCCTGCTTTGTTGTGCCTTCACCAGCATCCTCTTCCATCAGTCTCCAGAGTTTTGAATCTGGCAATACGTACATCCTCAGCAAGGCTCTTGAATTCACCACCATGCCCCGTGCGCTCGGCAAACATCTACTCTGCAGACCCTGATCTTCCACCTTCCCCTTCTGACTTGGGCAGTCCAAGGTGAGGCAGAGCCACACCGTGAGTGATCAGCGGTCCAGACTGAAGGTCTTTCCCAGCCCTATCTATAGATGCCAGGAACTAAAGCTGGGAATCTTCTCCGTTGCAAAGCACAGAATAATCTAACTTGCCACGGTGGGCTGGATGGACCTCCATTCCAATTCAGTAGGGTACATCTTATGGTCAACGGAACTATAGCAACACCCAGCATCTTCTTCTGCATTGCATTCATAATCTAACACAAAGGGGCTGTGGCTCAGTGGCAGAGCATCTAATTTTGCATGCAGAAGGTCCCAGGTACAAACCCTGCCTGCTCCATGTAGGACGGGAGAGATTCCATGCCTGAAACCCTTGAGAGCTACTACCAGTTAATTTAGACATTACTAAGCTAGAGGAATAGGACACGGGTGGCGCTGTGGGTTAAACCACAGAGCCTAGGATTGCCGATCAGAAGGTCGGCGGTTCGAATCCCCGCGACGGGGTGAGCTCCCGTTGTTTGGTCCCAGCTCCTGCCCACCTAGCAGTTCGAAAGCATGTCAAAGTGCAAGTAGATAAATAGGTACCGCTCTGGCGGGAAGGTAAACGGTGTTTCCATGCACTGCTCTGGTTCGCCAGAAGCGGCTTAGTCATGCTGGCCACATGACCCGGAAGCTGTATACCAGCTCCCTCAGCCAATAAAGCAAGATGAGCGCCGCAACCCCAGAGTCAGTCACGACTGGACCTAATGGTCAGGGGTCCCTTTACGCTAGAGGAACCCATGGTCTGACTCAGGGTTAGGCAGCTTCCAAAGTTCCCATGCAAATACTTAGGCTGCATACACATCATACATTTAAAGAATCATAGGAACTGTAGTCTTCAAGAGCACTGGGAATTGTAGCTCTGTAAAGGATAAACTACAATTTCCAACAAAAAATATTAAAGGGTGCTTTAAGTGTGCATCTGCTCAGCTTATAGAAGGTGCCCAGTTCAGTCCCCAACATCTTCGGGTTGTGATGGAAGAGACTCTAGGCCTCAAATTTTGGAAAGTCACTGCCAGCCTGTGTAGACACTGGGACTCAGCAGAAGGCAGCTTCCTGTGATCCTAAGCAAGATGCCCCACCACTGGTGAGCACCTTTTCCTTTCTTACAGACATGGCAGAAGGTCATACAAGTGCCTTTGTACCAGGCAAGACTACAGGGGTTAATGGCGACTGACACCATTGCATGGTAGATGTGCAAAGAAAGAAACCCAGTCTTCAGATGCTCCCAACTCCTCCACCGCCTTGCACTACCATGTGATGGTTGCAATGACAGTCGCCACGTTTCAGGAATAATCTTGTTCCAAAAGACACTTTGGGGAGAGAGAGTGGAAGACGAGGAGGAGGAGGGGTACGAAGGCTGCTGGGCATCCCTCCCAGCCTTTTATTCCTCCGCTGTCTCCTAGCAACACTTATCTGTTGCCATGGAGAGTGCAGTATACCCCATCCCCAATCAGTATCATTCCATAGCACAGGCCCTTGGCACATGTTCAGAATGTAAACAGGGATGACACTCTCTTGGGAAGAGCAGCTGGGAAATCAGCAAGCAGTTCCCCCCACCCTAATGCATATAACCACCCACCCATTCATTCCAGCACAAAGTATAATAATAATAATAATAATAATAATAATAATAATAATAATAGATACCACAAGTTATGGAACGAGCATAAAACATGCTCACACCATCTCCAGGTGATCAACAAAGCTTATCTGAAATGCAAAGGGCATCAAATGATGGTCAAGTCATTATTTTCTTTTATTGCTTGTAAGAAGAACTCAGTTGGACCTTCAGGATCTGAAGCAATGTAGCTCAGAGCTTTTCCTCTACTGAGAACACATGTCCAATCTACCCTGTCCAGCTCATAATGACATTACTTTCACACACAGTTCTTGAGCATGTTGCTCAGTCACAGTGCTAATGAACGCTATGAAAATATTAAGAGCACTGGAAGTTGCCTCATACAGAATCAAAACACCGGTCCATCTAGATGCATATTGTCTGCTAAAGGTACCACTTTAGCTAGTGGGGCCTCCAGCTGCCGCTGTGCGATTTCTGTTCTCATCCTGAAGCAAAGTTCTTAACCTGAGGTACTACTTCCGGGTTTGCAGAGTCTGTAACCTGAAGCGTCTGTAACCCGAGGTACCACTGTAAAACTAATGTGCCTGGTGTGGTGAAAGTGGAAAGAGAGTGGTTTCCCTCCCTCCCCTCTCGTAATACTAGAATTCAGGATCATCCCATGAAGCTGAAAATTCAGGACAGAGAAAAGAAAGCATCTTTTTGCACAGTGCCGTAGTTCAATGATGGAATTTGCCCTCTCAAAAGCTAGTGATGTCCACCAACTTGGAAGGCTTCCAAAGAGGATTAGACAAATTCATGGACCTCAAGGCTATATCGGTGGGCGCTCATCACAATGGCTCATCATACCAAATCCTGGATCGGAGGCAGTATATCCCTCTTGAATCCCAGTTGCTGGAGAACAACAGTGGGAGAGGGCTTTCACATTCATGTCCTGCTTGGCCTCAGTCCAGTATACCTGAAGGAGCGTCTCCGCCCTGCATCATTCTGCCCGGACACTGATGTCCAGCTCTGAGGGCCTTCAGGCGGTTCCCTCACTGTGAGAGGCCAAGTTACAGGGAACCATGCAGAGGGCCTTCTCGGTTGTGGCACCCGCCCTGTGGAACACCCGCCTACCAGATGT